GGCGGGGACGGCTGACCGAGGGCACCCTGATTTTCTCATCAGAACCCACCGAGCTGGCCTTTGGGAAGAAATTCGAGTAGCCTAGCTTCTGTTCTTTCGATTGCTCCCTCCCAGTTCTCCGAAATCCCGAAGTCTGCGGGAAAGCGCATGGTGGCAAGGCACCTTTGAATGGCCTTTCCCGGCCTCCCCAAACCCCCACCTTGATCGCCTCAGTTCCCATCCCAGGGTGGGAAGCAAAAGCGTTTTGATTAATTGTCCTGTTAACCCTTTCTCCGTAAGATTTGTGACTCGGGAGCCAACAGGCATCCTTTTGGGGGCAGAGGCCAGCAGTGTTCCAAGAGTGAGGGAGAGCCCTTGCTCCGCTTTGCTCCCAGTTCATTTCTCTGCAGTAGTGGCCACAGCAAGGCAGAGGCTGGGAGAGACCTGAGCCTGTGAGGTCTTTCTGACACTCCTTAGACAGCTTTGGGAGTCTCAGAGTCCTGTTACTGATCCCACATGGCGCTTTAGAGAGGCCTTTGTCTCCAGTCCTGACTTCCCTTCATACTTGTTGTAACTCATACCATAGATGCTGGTGCCATTATCATCTCCAGCACCTCCAAACCATGCCCATCATCAGTTACTGCTCCAGGTCACAGGACTCGCCCACTCCTAGGAGCCTGTGGGACACACTTGTCATTCATGTTCCCAGCATGTGCACTCCTGGCTTTAGGGGTACATGTTTCCCAGGACTGCTCTCTGTAGGTCCTTCATGACCTATCCTACATTTTACAGAACCTCCTGACCACTGGGCAGTTGTGGGCAGGGGGTAAGTGCGGCATCTTACGTGAGCACGCACATGTGTTAACTCTCCATCTCTGGCTGGTGCATGCACACACGTGCGCATGCACACACATAGTCCAGAATTTGGATTACAGATAACAATCACTTCAAAGTACCTATGGGTGCAAGTGAGCCCAGCTAGTACAAGGGTTATGTGTGTGTGTTACTCTTAGTGCGTAAAGAGGGGTCAAGGCCTGGGTTCTTTAATCCTTGCAGCCTTGAGAAGAGTGGAAGGACAGAGGCCCAGGAAGGCACTGGCTGAGGGTGAGAAGGTGGGCTGGAGGAGAGTTCTTGCCCATGGATTTCTGGGAGCCATGAGTCTAAGGCTGCCAACCCTAGAGAGGCTGGGCTTTGCCCCCGGGGCTGCCACTGCAAGGCAGGATTTAGACAAGCTGTGTTTTGAAGGTGAGGTTTGCTGCTCGTGGGGTTGAGAGTGAAACCGAGGAAGAGGATAAAATCTTAATTTAAATCGTGCACTGGGCACTTTCTCATAAGGAACGTGGGCCTTGCACTGGAGCCCCTCACTCTCAGACTTAAAGAAAGCCCGAGATTCACAAGACTCTGCTGTAATTTTCATCTTACTTTATCTAACAGATGTCACAGAGCAGTGACTTAGGCATATGCCGTGGCAGAACCGTCTCGTTACTTTCATCATCCTTGGGCCTGAAAAGGCAGACGTAGCTTTCTAGGAAGCCCATTCCTCTTGGTTAAATCTCCAAGGCTCTCTTGCTGGGGTTTTGGGGGAGAGCCTATGTTCTAGTGTTTGAATTCTTACTTTTAGGGGCACTCACTAATTTAAGTTTTGGTCTTGCATCTCTTCTGCCTCTTGTCCCCTTCTTCCCTCTAGCCCTGTCCATTGGCCCGGGAAACGCACCCTGCCCCGCCACGCAGAGCCAGGAAGGAAAGAGAGCCTCATGCCTAAGCCGCGGGGAGCACCATGGATCTGACAAAGATGGGCATGATCCAGCTGCAGAACCCCAGCCACCCCACGGGGCTCCTGTGCAAGGCCAACCAGATGCGGCTGGCGGGGACGCTGTGCGATGTGGTCATCATGGTGGACAGCCAGGAGTTCCACGCCCACCGGACGGTGCTGGCCTGCACCAGCAAGATGTTTGAGATCCTCTTCCACCGCAACAGCCAGCACTACACCCTGGACTTCCTTTCTCCAAAGACTTTCCAGCAGATTCTGGAGTATGCGTACACAGCCACGCTGCAAGCCAAGGCGGAGGACCTGGATGACCTGCTGTACGCGGCCGAGATCTTGGAGATCGAGTACCTGGAGGAGCAGTGCCTGAAGATCCTGGAGACCATCCAGGCCTCAGATGACAATGACACGGAGGCCACCATGGCGGACGGTGGGGCCGAGGAGGAGGAGGACCGCAAGGCTCGGTACCTCAAGAACATCTTCATCTCGAAGCATTCCAGCGAGGAGAGCGGGTATGCCAGTGTGGCAGCTCAGAGCCTCCCTGGGCCCATGGGGGACCAGAGTCCTTCCGTCTCCACGTCGTTTGGCCTTTCAGCCATGAGTCCCACCAAGGCGGCAGTGGACAGCTTGATGACCATAGGACAGTCTCTCCTGCAGGGGGCACTTCAGCCGCCCGCTGGGCCTGAGGAGCCGCCTCTGGCTGGGGGAGGGCGGCACTCTGCGGCGGCCGAGGTGAAGCCGGAGATGATGCAGGTGGATGAGGTGCCCGGCCAGGACAGCCCTGGGGCAGCCGAGTCTAGCATCTCAGCTGGGCTGGGGGACAAGGTGGAGGAAAGGGGCAAGGAGGGGCCTGGAACCCCGACTCGGAGCAGCGTCATCACCAGCGCCAGGGAGCTGCATTACGGGCGTGAGGAGAGCGCCGAGCAGCTGCCACCTCCCGCGGAGGCTGCCCAGGGCCCCCCAGGCCGCCTGGAGCCCCCCGTGCCCCCAGCTGAGAAGCACCTGGGTATCTACTCGGTGTTGCCCAACCACAAGGCTGATGCCGTGTTGAGCATGCCGTCCTCGGTGACCTCGGGCCTCCACGTGCAGCCTACCCTGGCCGTCTCCATGGACTTCAGCACCTACGGGGGTCTGCTGCCCCAGGGCTTCATCCAGAGGGAGCTGTTCAGCAAGCTGGGGGAGCTGGCCGTGGGCATGAAGTCGGAGAGCCGGACTGTCGGGGAGCAGTGCAGCGTGTGTGGGGTGGAGCTTCCGGACAACGAGGCGGTGGAGCAGCACAGGTAGGCCCCCCCCACTCCCGTACCGACCCCCCGACCCCCCGACCCCAGACTTTGGCCTTGACCCCCGTCTTCATACCCAGCTACTCCTGAGTCTCCTGGGGCGCGGCTCGCCTGTTGTCTTTGCTACTTGTGAAAAATCATGTTGGGGGAAAATTTTCAAGTGTGCTGAGGGAGCCTCGGGTCTTTTCTAAGCGCTGGGGAACTCAGGGGCCCAGCTTCTTGCTAGGCGCTCGCCTCTCTTTTTGCCTTTGGGCGCCTATTATTTGCTTTTTCTGCTGTCGGGTCTGGTCTCCTTTGCGTGGAGTGACTGCTAAAGTGGAGGGAGGGAGAAGCAGGGAGAGGAGGAAGGTCCCACAGCCCCGATCTGGCCATGTTGCCAGGTTTCAGGTACCCGAGCTCCCATGCTGGTTTCTGCCAAGGCAGCCTGTCTGCAGCTCCGGAGGATGGGAGGGGCCAGAGGATGGGAGGGGCTGGATGCTGTTTAGGCCACAAGAGCAGCTGCAGGTTCTGAACATCATTCCTGGTGAACATTCATCACCGGGAATGTTGCTTCCTCTCCCTTCTCATCTTCTGTCCCTGTAAACACATTTAGAGGGAGTTGATTTAAATTCAAGGGAGAAGGATGGGTATGAGAGACATTGGTTTTGCAGCCCGCAGCCTTCTTCTCATCCCCTCCCTGCTCACATTGAATTAAATACCACTTCGGGCTAACATTGGCTTCCCTCTGGCTTCTGTTTCTTTCTCTGTGAAATAACCATTCACTGAGCTTTTATGACATGCCTGGTTCAAGTGCTTTTCATGGAGTCACGTTTTTCTCACAGCAGTTGTCCCACGTAGATGATGTTCTTATTTCCCATAGGAGAGTCCTAAGACCTTTTCCCAGGGTCATATGGATAGTAAGAGGCAGAGCTGGATGCAAATTCAGGTCTTAACCCTCCTGCGCTTTGCTGCTCTTGGAATCATTCAGTCCCAAAGAGGATCGGGGCGACAGAGCAGAGGGTTTTGAAAATTGCTTCTCGGAAGTGCAGCAGACACAGAGGGAATCAGTAGTGAGTTCGGTGTTTGCTTTCATCTATCATAATGTATCATATCATATATGCCCTTAGCATTCCCTCCCAGTCCCTGGGTCTGGTGAATGTTGTCAAGGAGTCCAGTTTCTCTTGTCATCTGTGATAACGTTTCCCTTCTTGCCTGCTGTTTTGCTGATCTTGAGTGGATTCTTCACTTTTGCACTCCTCTCTCTACCCCCTCCCTGCCCCATTCCTTGGTTGCTGATCCAGGTAGAGAGGAGGAGGTAGGAGAGGGGACAGGGCTGGGAACACGGAGGAGGAGGCCTCTGGAGGTTGATCTGATTACCCCAAGCTGGGCTGGAACATGTGCCAACACTTTGATGGGGGGCTCGGATACTTACCTTGTGGAAAGTGCTGTTGATCTAACCGTTGCCGGTATTTTTTTCCGATCGGGTGAGAAAAATAACCGCCACTAAGGTGTGTCTTCGTGGTGCTTGTACTGCTCAGAAATAGACCAAGGTTCTGTTTGTTTTTGCTCAAACTTTCCTAGAGAGGAAACCCTCTCTCCAAACTTGACCAGATAGATTTATCATCTTCTCCGGATGTGAATTATTTCAGTTACGTGCAGTAAGAATTGGGGTATAGCGGAAAGACAATTTTAAATTGAGATATAATCGACATATAATACTGGATCAATTTTGGGTGTATATATTATGAAATGATCACTAGGATAATGCTAGTTAGTTAATATCGATCACCACATGTGGTTATACATTTTTTTTCTTGAGCACTTTTAAAATCTACTCTTTCTCTTAGCAACTTACAAATATGCAATATAATATTGCTAACTATAGTCATTATGCTGGATCCCCAGGACTTACTTATTTTGTAACTGGAAATTTGTACCTTTTAGACTACCTTCGCCCATTCCTCCCACCCCCCCCCCAATTCCCTGGAAAGTAATTTTTTCCTAGCTCTCGTGTGTTCTGTACCTGAGATGGCTGGAAAAGATGTCACTCTCCCAGTAGTTCTGAGTTCCTATTCTGTGGGGTCCTTGTTCTTCTGGGAAGAGGTGGAGGGCTGGCTGTGTTCTACCCCCAACCCGCTCCTGGAACATTCCTGGTGGAACTAGCCATATCTAGCCAGGAGAGCTTGGGAAAGTTATATGACCATTTTGAGCTGGGTTTTAGTCTCTTTAAAATGGAGATGGTCTGTAGGGTGGGATGCTGAATTAACGAAGTAACGTCTGGAAATCCCTGGCGCTGCGACTGGCACTTGGTAACTGGGAGGGATGAGGAACTGATCCTCAGTCCTGCATCCCGTTTGGGGCTTGTCTCTGCATCACCCCTGTTGGCTCTGAGCTCTAGTGTGTAGTGTTCACAGTGCTGCCCTCGGCCGGGGTTGAGTTGGCTGTGAGGTGGTGCAGAGGAGTGTCCCTGTCCTTGTGAACTTGTGATGGTGAGGCACTGGTTCTGGCATCCCGGGCATCTGACATGGAGAATGTGCTTTCGATTGAGAGTGGAAAGTCGGCTGCTGTGGCCCACGATGCTGGAGCCTGGGCCTGTGCCCTGGGTGGAAAGCTGTGGGGTCTACGGATGTCAAGGTCGGAGAGAATGGTCCTGTGTGCCCTCTGCCCTCGCTGTGGCCGGCAGCCTCCTGGCTCCTGAACAGATGCACTCTGGGGAGGCTTTTCCTCTCTCCCTCTCTCTGAGACCTCCAGCATTAAGGTGCTACATTTCTCTGGTCCTCCCCACCACATCACAACTACCAGCATAGCACAAACAAAAAGGCAAGACAAAACAATCGGGGTAGGAGATTTTGAAGTCAGTTCTGCCGAATTGGCAGTAAATATAATAGTGACGAACGTGATGAAATAACAGGCCACAGGATTTATTTTATTCTGTTGTTAAGCCAGTAAGCTGGAGTGTTGGTAAAGGTGAGGTACCCGCCAGTTATTGTGTTTCTTCTTGGGAGGCCAGAAGGGCATGGAGAGGAAGGAAGGGGTGAGTTCTGGGAAGTGATGCCGGAAGGAGGGATTGTTCCGGAATCCCATCAAAGGCTTTCCTCGTGACTTGGTCCCAAGCTGGCGAGAGGGGAGCGAGGCTGCTGGCATGACAGACAGTTTGAATGAAACTTTGTGAAGTTGTGGTCCCTGCGGTGCATGGTGAGATGTAAAAGCAATGTCGGATGTAGCCATGGATTGATGGAAAGACCACACAAAGATGCTACTTGGGTAAATCAAATGGGACTTACTTGCCTAAAGGATTCAGAAGGAAGTCAGAACAATCGGAAGGGCTGATAGATCAGCAGATCTATCTCCAGGCAGATGCAGGAACAAGCTTTAGACCGCAAAACCTTCCTAGTGGGCCCGCATTACAGAGGATGACATCTGACAGAGGGAGGGTCACATCGGGAAGAGTGGACTCTCCTTCCCTAAGCTCAGTCTCTCTTCTTTCTCTCTGTCTCTGAAAGGCTGGACCTATTCTGCATGTAGCCTTGTCTGCATCTGATCTAGGGACCAGCTCAACCAGGCCAGGTGCATCGTCTCCTTCTCAGAGTTATACACATATGAGAAGATGGCAGGGAACAGTATGGTTGACTTAAGTGTCAACACAGTCCTCATAGTCCTCAGTCTCCCCAGGCTCACATAGTCTGGTATTAACTTGCTTCTGAATTTAGTGCTGCAGAATCAGAGTGGGGTCTGGTTCCCCAGGAACCTCCAGATCTTGTACAAGACAAGCCCTGGGACCAGCTACGGGGTGTATTCTGCACACACACAGTAGCTCTTGCATGGTTCTCCAAGGGATGCTCAGGGACCACCAGGGTGGTCTCAGCCTGTTCCCTGCACTCAGGTGTGCAGCCTTCTCAGAAGATTCCTGGGGCCAGCTCCAGGGTACGTGGGCCACGTTGTTGAGATGTCAAGGTCCTGCCTGGCCCTTTGCATCAGCCTCTTTCAAGTGGCCAGCTGCTCATTTCTCAGTGGTTGAACGTGTAGAGAGCCAATAGCAATTGACTTTGGTTTAGGCCACTTAGGGAATGTAGAAGTTGCCCTGAACTCCTGGACCCCTTTCATCATTCTGCCAGCTTTAGGCACCTCTGAGGTCCAGCCAAGTTCTGTTTGGAAAACACTATGCTGTGAAATTGTGATAGTATCAGTGATCATATTCATGGTGCCTTTTATCCATTGTCTCACTTTTTCCTTTGCAGAGCGCCTGGAATGACTTCTGTCTCTGAACCTCACAGCTTCCCCTCAGGGGGTGCAGGTCCCTTATTCCATATGTGTAGTGATGGCGTCTGAAAAACTCTGAAAGCTAAAAGGCTTTGTGTGAGTTTGCAGCCAACTCATTTAGTGGCAAAACTTGATCTGAACTGATGTGAGGCTATATTTATCCCGCTTATTTTGAATATTCATATGTTTTGCCTCAAAAATATTAATGTGTTTGATTACAGAGTACTTCCCTAGACTCCTCTGGGGCTGGCAAACATGATAGGCCCCACAGTACCTTTCTAACATCTGAACAGTTTGGATTTCTGAAGCAGCTAAGTGTTCTGTGTAAGGCATCTGCGACCGTTATCAGCCTCAACTTACAGATGAGGAAAATGAGCTTTGAGTGAGTGAGTGACACACTCAAGGTCACAGGGCTATAAATGGCTCAAGCCAGGAGCCCAGTTCACCTTCTAATTCACAGTCCTGGGTGCTCCGCGCCAGGCCATATAAGCACATGGGCATTGCTGTTCTGGGTCAGGTCCATCTGACCTAGTCTGGATGATGCCAGCACCGTCCCTACGGTACCACTGTTGGCGGCTCCAGCTCTCTTCCTTGACGTCAATCCTGAAGGTCAGGTGGAGCCTGGCTTCTCTTCGTAGCTATTTATGGCTGCTCTGTCATTCACAGATTTGCCCAAATCCTTTCTGAAACCATTTCTATTTCCAGGAAGTATCCTTTTGGGGGTGATGGATGACTTAAGTTTCTAAGCTCCCGGGCTCCTG